GTTGTTTCTAACTGAGTGACTCACTAAACTGTGCCTAAAAACATATCTGTCAACATGATGCATCTGCTTAAAATAATATCTCATCTTTTTGGAGCAGCCTAAAAGGAACATTTAAGCCGTTTCATTTTAATTTTGTTGCTGTGTCATCCTATTCCTGTTAGTTATTACTCAACATATGTGAATTAAAGTTAATTTAAGTATTTAGTGTTTTTACTGTACTTATTGTTTTAAAAATATGATTGAAAACCCTAGTCCACAAGTAACCCTAACCCTCATTCACATTTTCCCCTACATTTCAAGTTATGATATATTTTTACATAATTTATTCGCTGCAGTTAAAAATATCAAAGATAGTTCCAATTTAAACACAGATATGAAATACAATAAAACATACAATAACTTAAATGATGTCATTGTACTAGGTCATCAAATCAATTCAGTTTAGTCTGTCTAATAAGCTGTCTGTAGTGTTTTTAAATGTCCAGCAGGTGTCAGTATTATGAGACAATATCAATGCAGCATCAATACAGTTTTTCAATGTGTCCAAACGCTTCAAGATGCCTCATTAACCATCACTAGTAATCGGTTAATCGTTAACTGGAGAATAGAGATTGTAAATAATGCTTTTAACTGACAGACTGACCTACTTAGAGTAGTAAAAATATATATACATTTTGCATTTAACATAACATTTTTATCTGTCAATATGCTCTATCCAGAACTCTTCAAGTAGAAAAGTTTTAGTGTCGCCTGGTTCAATTTTGTTAAAAATCTTCTTTAAGGAACCTTTGCTGTCTGATTATTAATCGAGAAACAATCGATAGATTAATCAATTTGCTAAATAATTGTTAGTTGTAGCCCCAAATAATTCCTGATAAATTAAGGTACGCATACATTTGCAAACACAAGGAACAATATATATATATATATATATATATATATATATTCTAATAACTTTTTCCTTCCCTTCATAGTGAAAAGGAGTTATTCTTTCCAATCAATTTTATGATAAAGTCCCAAATCTGTTTTCAGTCCATCTATTCGAGTCAAATATAAACAGCAACTTTTTCGAATTTGACCAAACTGTTATTGCTGAGAACAGACTGAATGTTTTTCTTTTTTTTGGAAGCCAGTCCCAAAAGATCTGCATCCCTTCTTAAAAAACACGTACTAGTAAAAATCCTATTTTTTATTTATTTTTTTAGCTCATGACTACTTCTGGCCTCACTGCTTTGATTCACTTAAAGGAGAAGTTCGGTTTTTTACACTTTAAGCCCATTTTCTGTAGTGTCCAGGATGAAATAGAATG